AATGAGCAAAGAAAGTGTTTTCCATTGTCCATGTAAAATTGTTGAATCTTCTTTCTGGGCCTTAGAAAGATCTGTTTTGTTTTGTACCTCATACATTAAGTTAATGTCCTGCAAAAATGTTATTCTCTTTTCCATTCAAAAATAGGAAAACGTTCAGAAATCTTTTTCTTTTCTTTTTCTTTTTGGCAGTTGTGACAAAAAATTTACAGCAGCAAGCTGTGGGGAAAGGACTGTGTGAAAATGTTTTCTTTTCTCTTAAAGTGATGACTCTGACTTGAACTATTCCCAACAGCAATCAAAATGCAATATTTTTAAAACAGGGGAAAAAATGTTTTGTGGATGCTGGTAATGCAATTGAAGAAACTCCATCATATTTAGACAGCCATAAAAAAAGATGGCCTTTTATTAGCTGAAGCTGATAAATAACATGATTCCCATCCTCTCTGTAAGAAAAACAACTGGCTTGGTAGCTCATGAATTGGAAATTTGAAGGCTAAAGTGTTGCAATGCACTCATCAAGACACTGTGAATTCAGATTAATATTTACATACTATGGAATCTAATGATCATTATGATTCTAGTCTATCAACAACTGTTTTGGAATATAAACAGAATAACAGACTAATGAGAGTTGGAAGAGACCTTAGGGGTCTTATAGACCAACCCCTGCTCAGGCAGGAACCTCTATGCCATTTCAGACAAATAGTTGTCCAATCTCTTCTTAAAAACTTCCAATGTTGGAGCATTTACAACTTCTGGAGGCAAGTTGTTCTACTGATTAATTGTTCTCCCTGTCAGGAAATTTATCCTTTGTTCTAGACTGATTAGTTTCCATCCATTGCTGGATGATTTGGAGCAGGGGTGTCAAACTCAAGGCCCTTAGTGCTTAGATCTGGCTCCTGGGAACGGCCTGGAAATAGCAAAGACTGGCCCATGGTGCCTCTGCCAGCAAAAATGAAGCTCTGGGTTAGCATTTGACCGCCACAGGTGGCCCCCAACCAGTGGTGGTATTAGAGAAAAGATATCTTTTACTGGAAATGAAGTAGTAGCAACAAGAGAATTCTGAATCTGAGGAAATAGGCGCGCAAATCACATATACAAAGTGATGGAAATGTTCCCCCAATAGTTCAAATGGCTCTTCCAATTTAAAAGTTGTGAATATCATCATGTGGACATCTTCAGGTGGTGATGAAGTTTCTGTCCGTTGACCTTGACATACTTTGATAAAGGTTTGCAGCTGCACGGAGAAGAGAAAGCTAAGCAAGAAATAGAAACCTAAGCACGAATGTCCCCTCCCCCCCCCCTCAGTTTATACAATACTAGTTTGTACCACCTCCAGCTCATTTCCCATATTTCCCCCCCGTTACTTATGGCAGCCGAAAGATGCAAAGCAAAGGTAGAAGATCTTGAAGGCTGACAGAACCAGTAGCAAGGATTTGATGTGCATTGCTGAACCGGTAGTGACTTCTGGCTGGCCATGCCCCCGACCCGGTCGCCCCTCCCCTCCCTGCCAGGTCAGTCCTTATCGCACATGCGCAACATCACGTGCATGCCTGACATTGCTGATTGCATTCTTCCCTGCCCAGTCACTCCTTAAGGTATTTCTTTTTTTCCCCCTCCCGACGATCAGCTGTTCCTATGATCAGCTGTGCTGAGATTCCCCTCGCTGTCTTACTGCTTCACCCAGGAGGCTTCCCTGAGGCCCAGGAAGGCAAAAAAAAAAAAAAATGGAGTGCAGGGGGATGCTGCATGCCCCCCTTATGCTCAGTTTTTTTTTTCTTCCTGAGCCACAGCAAAGCCTTCTGGGAGCAAAAACACCCCCCCCCCAGAAGGCTTTCCTGAGGCCCAGAAGGCCCCAAAATGGAGCATGGGGTGGGGTGCTTTCCTGAGGCCCAGAAGGCCCCAAAATGGAGCACGGGGTGGGTTGCTGCAAGCCCTCCCCCCATGCTCAATTTTTTTTCCTTCCTGAGCACCTGGGAAGTCTTCTGGGAGCAAAAACGCCCCCCGCCCCCCAGGCTTGCTTGAGGCCCAGAAGGCCCAAAAAATGGGGGAGTTGCTGCCAAAAAAAAAAAGAGCCATGCCCACCAAGTCGCATGGCCATGATCACCTAGCCACGCCCGCCTAACCATGTTCACAGAACTGGTAGTACAAAAGAAAATGAATCCCACCATTGTCCCCAACATGAGTGATATGGAGCTGGCCACCCCCACCATGGCCACCCCCTCCCCTGATGTCTGAGGTCAAGCACAGCCCTGATGTGGCCCTCAATGAAATTGTTTGACACCCCTGGTTTGGAGAATAGGTTGACTCCCTCTTCTTTGTGGCAGCCCCTGAGATGTTGGAACACCATTATCATGTCACCTCTAGTCTTTCTTTTCATCATCTTTGTTGTTCTTTTCTGCACTCTTTCTAGGGTTATTCTGATTCTGATTCTTTCATTAACTGATTTTTTTTTTTTTGGTCTTCTTCTCTTTGGTCTTTCCTAATTGTGAATTAGATTTATTCAGATAGTCAAGTCCTTGAGATAAGAAGAATATTATTCAAATTACAAAAAAGCTTCATATAAAAAACATTTGGACTGGCTTTTTTCAAAGCACTCTGATCATTTGGAAAGACACTTAGTCACATTTTTTCAAAGCCTGGAAGATGTAAAATTTGTAATGCCTAATGTACTTGTTGCAGACTTAGGCTAGAAAAAGTATGAATGTCAACAAGCCCTTTATTTAAGGCACTTTGGAAATTATTTTCAGCTGGAAATCTGAAATGCACAGAGTGGGTTTCCTAAATTTGAGTAAACCCACCCTTTTTGCAATCCTTTCACTTGCTGCCAAGTTGTGTTATAAATTGACAACTGAAAATGGAAGTTAATGAGAAAGCAACAAATTGGGACAAGATTAACCATGCAGAAAATTGGTAAAGCCCCAATACTGAAACAGATTTTTTTAAAAAAATATTAGGATCTTCATTCTATTTGATACAAGTTAATTCTGTCCAGAAAATTGAAGATGATATTTCACCAATCACACACACACTCATTTCTCAGTGCTACAATTAGCTTTATTACTTTTTTTAAGCCACCAAACCTCAGAAAAAGAAAACAAAATAAAACTAGATGAGCACGTTTGAGTTAATGAGGATTTTTTGGACCCAATTTTGTAATTGCTTCTTACAAAATTGAAATTCCCAGTTGAAGAAGATATAAAACATGTCAAAATACTGTAGTAGCTACATTTCTATGTTTGAACCCCATTCCTTTTCTGAATGCAGGTAAAAAGAGAGCAGGAAGTATGTTTTTGTGACCCTCTCTTTGGGTGGGGGGGTTGCCTGCAATCCTAGAAATGTTGACTTTTGCACAAGTTCTTTGCCAAATCACATTACATATTACTTTCTCTGGAAATTCTCAGTCATCCAGGTCCTGGTTGTCCCAAAAGTGCATTTTCCAAAAGGCTACTGGATATAATTTTTCTTGAAGACATTCTACTTCTCATCCAAGCAGAAGCTGGAAAAAGCTTCTTCGATGAGAAGCAAAACATCTTCAAGGAAAAATAAAGAAAATATAGAGACTGACTCCGAGGAAGAGGAGGAACAGTCGACAGGGAATGGAAGTGTGGCTCTGGAGGTTGTGGAGGAACTGAAGAAGGGCAGAGGCTGGCTGGGAAGTCAGAAGAAGACCCAGGCCCATCCCCTCTGCATGCTAGGGCATGCAGGGAGGAACGGAGAAGGGAACCATGTGGCTTATGGGAGAGGAAGCAGCCATGATCCCCCTTATTGGCTGCTTCCCAGGTCATCACAGGTGGGACTGGTCTATCAGGGCAACTTGGTCTGTCTATGGGACAAACCATGCTGCTTCAATTTTTACCTTTCAGCCCCAATCCAGGAGCCTTTGCAGGCAGTCGCTTTCGCAACAAACTATTTTTGGGTTAAATTTATCTTTTACCAACAAAGAAATAAAGGGAGACTAGTACAGGTCTATTTCAAGCTATTTAGCTTTCATCAGCTAGCCATAACCAAAAAAAACACAAAAAACAAGAACCCAACAACAACCATTTAATCTCTGCCCTGGTATAGCTGACAAAGTGAGGAGAACCCGTGGCTTAGAAGTTAACACATCTATGTAATATGTAAGCAGCCCAGGTTCAAATCCCAGAAAGGTATGGCTAGCTGATGAGAGCTAAATAGCTTGAAATAGATCTATACTGGTCTCCCTTTATTTATTTGTTGGTAAAACATAAATTTAACCATATAGAATAGAATAGAATGAGGTGGAAAGGACCTTGGAAGTCTTCTAGCCTAGCCCCCTGCTCAAGCAGGAGACCTATACCATTTCAAGAATAGAATGAGCTGGAAGAAACAATGGAGGTCTTCTACCATTTCAGATAAGTGACTGTCTAGACTTCTCTTAAAAACCTCCAGTAATGAAATGCCCATGATTTCTGAAGGCGATCTGTTCCATTGGTTGATTGTCCTCACAATTAGGAAGTTTCTCCTTAATTCCAGGTTGCTTCTCTCCTTGATTAGTTTCCAACCATTGTTTTTTGTCCTGCCCTCTGGTGCTTTGGGGAATAAGTTGACCCCCTCTTCTTTGTGGCAGCCCCTCAAATACTGAAACACTGCTATCATGTCACTTCTAATTCTTCTTTTCTTTAGACTAGCCAAACCCAAATCCTGCAGCCGTTCTTCATACGTTTTAGTCTCCAAGCTTTTGATCATCTTAGTTGCGCTTCTCTGAACTTTTTGCAAAGTCTCAACATCTTTCAAAAGTCCTGCTGCCTTTTGAAAAAAAGCACCTTTGGGACATTACAAGCTATTGTTAAAGTCTGGAAGAGTATTACCTACTGTTTTGTTGTTGTGGTGGTGGTGTTTTTGTTGTTGTTTTGACTGGATATCTGGAACTGGATTGTCAGGAGATTTTTTCACCTAAGAAAAAGATATGTGCAGAAGTGGTTTATGTGTGCAATTTCACATTCTATGAAAGATAAATACATCAAACCTTTTGACATATGGCCTTATCTACCTACCGTAGATCTTCTGAATTTCATGTACTAAATTTAATTCCTAAAATTGAAATAATATTTCTATAGAACTTAGAATAACTTTATTGTCACTTTTAATGTACGCTAATCAGCATACATTAAAATTAAATTTCATTGCATACAGCTTTCAAAGGATCATCACTTCCAAAATACACCACATAAACATGATTAAATAAATAAATAAGTACGAAAGTATTCATACACCCACATATATGACACAGAGAAACAACACATATAGACATACAACCTCTAAAAATAGTTTCTTTCCCAGTGGGGAGCTAATTTCAATTTCATATTAATACTGACTAGTTTTCAAGCATATATGTTTTTTCTGATGAAACATTCATTTCTGTTTGGGATGAAGAACGTTACGATAGATCATTTCAGCTGTTCAATGATTCACTTTGACATTACTTAATTACATTAATTACTTAATGTTAGAATTGAATGCCCCAAAGTAATTTTACCTGGTCAACCACTGCAACATACTTTAATTCTTTCCTAGCAAATGAATTTAGTATGAAAAACTAACACACACACAAAAAAAAGGACTGGGGTGGCATGATAGCAGTATTCCAGTATTTGAGGGGCTGCCACAAAGAAGAGGGGGGTTAACTTATTTTCCAAAGCACCTGAAGGCAGGACAAGAAACAATGGATGGAAACGAATCAAGGAAAGAAGCAATCTGGAATTAAGGAGAAACTTCCTAACAGTGAGGACAATTAACTAGTAAGATAGCTTGCCTTCACAAGTTGTTAAATCGGCATGTTAAATCTGAAAAGCTGGTGTCAAGCAATGAAGCATGCCACAAACTTGTGTTGGAAGCAGTGGAAAGCCATGCTCTCACGGGTGAGAATATTCAGTTGGGTACACAAGTTAATTCCTCCATCTCATCTCAGCCTCACTTTGGCCAAAACATGGATGTTATCATGGTCATTGATGCTGTGTCTGAGGGAGGTGATTACTTGAGTGAGTGTGTGGGGTACTTTATTGATGAAGAAGATGGGTGAATTTACCGCACACACACAATCATCTTGCTGGGCGTGCTGTGGTAGTAACTGAGTCTTATCTTTATGTGGCAGGTTCCATGGAGCCTGGCTTTGCCAAGACCATGGAAAGGTATAACCCAGGTAGAAATGTTTGGGAGTAGGTTTCCAATCTGATAACCAGGAAACATTATTTTGGACTTACCGAGGTAAAGGGAAACCTGTATAGCATTGGTGGGCAGGGTTATTTCATCCCTGGTTTACAGAAGTGGCTGTCTACAACCCTGATCAAGATAAGTGGCACAACTTGGAGTCTGCCCCAAAGATACTCTGGGATGTTAAAGTGGTTACAATAGATAACAGATTTGTTTACATGGCAGCTCGCACACCAGATGATGGAGATAATGAAGATGGCTTAAGGTCTGTCATTATTCGCTATGATGCAGACACATAACAGTGGCGAGATTGTGAGTCTCTGCCACTCCTTGATAACTATTGCTGCTTCCAAATGGTTGTGGGGAACAGCAACTTTTACCACACCGCTTTGTGTTGTCCTAGAAGCTATCCTCTAGACCATGAAGAGGCCAAGAGAAAAATCTCTAATCAAATATCTGATGACATTCTGGAAAGCTTACCACCAGAGGTTCTTAGCATTGAAGGGGCAGCTATTTGCTGTTACAAAGATGATATCTTCATCATAGGTTGTGGTTGCTTCATCACTGGGAGTTTTAATTTAAAGATAATTTAGTTTAATTTAATTTAAACTGAAATGGTATAGAATCTCCTGCTTTAGTGGGGGCTGGACTAGAAGACCTCCAAGTCCCTTCCAGGTCTATTCTAATTAATAAGAAAAACAGAATCACAACACCAAATAACTATGCATGCAAGTATAAAATTATTGTAGGTTGTAGATGTCTTTTTTTTAAAAATCAGGTCGAAAAGATCTAATTAAAAGTCTAAAAGAATGAAGCAACTTTATCAATCAAATATGAATGTACTGCTGAAGTTTTTTTCTAAACCACCTTGCAATCAGAGAAAACAGACAGCCATGGATCTATATTCTTTGAGTATGAACATCTTAGAATGTGATCCTATTACACTTAATAGGATTGATTTCTGAGTCTGTATATATTAACTTCACTATTATTTTCCAACATGTCTGAAAATTTATTCTCACCTATTTTAAAACCTTACAAAAGCAAGATGGATAATCCATTTTTCACTGTAGACAATGGCTACATTCCAAATTAAACCTTTACCCTTCCATCACATTCAACTTCCTTTGAAGTATTGGAGCCCAGATTCATTTCAAAATGAATCTGCATAGGAAAAAAAAAAGCATTATCTTTTTTAACTAGTTAATTAAATCAGATTGTTGAGTCTTCTTTGGCTTTGATCCTCCTGGCCAGGGAGGGTGGGATTTAAACTTAACTGTTGCTAGTGAGCTTTTCAGGTTCATTGGCTTGACTAATGAAATGCTTTTACATAAATGTGTCCTTCCTGCACCTGATACCAGGGATGGAGTGGAGGTGGGGATGAAGTGAAGTGAAGTGAGGTGGAGTGGAGTTGGAGTGGGGTATTGTCAAGAAAGCCAGTATCTGAAAGTGAAGTGAAGTGAGGTGAGATGAGATGGAGTGGTTGGAGTGGAGTTGGAGTGGAGTGGGAGTGGAGTTGGAGTGGGGTATTGTCAAGAAAGCCAGTGTCTGAAACTGCAAATGAAGCCAATTTTTATGTCTGTGGCTTGAACTATATGGACACTTCTGCCTGATGGCCCAGAAATGAACTTTGAATCCAATCATCATCTTCTTCATCATCATCAACATTCTGTTTCTTCCTACATGCCAACATGTTGTATGACTGTATTACTGTTATACTGTACTTCTCATCTTTTCTCCTACCTTCTTCTTTTGATATCTTATAATTATATTACTTTGCTGTTTATATGTGCACTAAGAACTTATGCACCAGAAACAAATTCTTTATATGTCCAATCACACTTGGCCAAATAAATCTCTCCTCTCCTCTCCCCTCCCCTCTCCTCTCCTCTCCTCTCCTCTCCTCTCCTCTCTTGTTCTGTTCTGTTCCATTTCATTTCATTCCATTCCACTCCACTCCACATTTTCTATTCTATTTTATTCTAATCTAGTCTAGTCTAGTCTAATCTATTCATATGATGAGAACGTGACACAAGAGAAATAAATATAACATTAATAGTAATAACAGTAGAGGTAGTCCTCGGCTTACAACCACAATTGAGTTCAAAATTTCTCTTGCTAAGCAAGACAGTTATTAAATGAGTTTTGACCCATTTTACAACCTTTCTTGCCACGGTTGTCAAGTGAATCACTGCAGTTGTTAAGTTAGTAAGTTAGTAACACCGTTGTTAAATGAATATGACCTCCCTGTTGATTTTGCTTGTTAGAAGGTCACAAAAAGTGATCACATCAAACTATGAGCCAGTTGCTAAGCTGAATTTTGATCACGTGATCATGGGGATGCTGAAGCAGTCGTAAGTGTGAAAAATCATCAGTGCTGTTGTAACTTTGAACTGTCACTGAATGAACTGTTATAAGTTGAGGACTACCTGTACATACTATTATGACATTTCCTTCCTTCGCAACATCACATGTATATAAATGGATGCAGCAGTCTGCTTTGCAAAGGTGTTGGATACACTACAGTTTTATCAACTTTGTGCCAAGAAAGTGGAAAGTAATTGACTGTTGAACTTCAAAGTGGCAGATATTTTATTTTTAAAGCAGAAGAAATGTACAATGTTTCAGAGATCACACTGTTTCTTCTATGAGAGAAAATGGTTGGAAAATGCACATAAAAGGCAACATTAAATAATCCTATATAAAGAATGTGCGAAACGTTTGTTGGTTAATTTAAGGATTTCCTTGGTTGCTCAAATCAAACAGTGTGATTCTGGGTGGCATATGAAGAAAAAAGAAATAAAAAGAAAACAGTTGTGATGACCAAAGTGTAACACAAACGTAACAAAATCCAAAACATAAATAAATATCCTTTAATGCCTCCAACTTGGCTCCAATGTTCAATAATTCTATTGGAGATAAAACGTACTCAAAAATAGTCTTCAAAAGAAAGCAATACAGTCCCAACTTAATGAGCAGATAGAGGTGAAATAAAAAACCAAACAAACTACAATGATGAAATTTCCACAATGGACCAGGATAAGTAATTACCAATTCAAGGAGATAAAAAGGCACAGTCTGTTGGAGGGACGCCAACCAAGATAACTTCAGCCCAAAATAAAACACGCTTTGCTTCTGGCAATGCTGTGTTGTAATCGTCTCTCTTATATACTATTCTCCCCAGCTGCAACCAATGAGGAGGATCATGGCCACTTCCTCTCTCATAAGCTAAGTTGTTGCCTTCTCCGTTCCTCCCTGCGTGTCCTAGGATGAAGAGGAGATGGGCCTGGTTCTTCCTCTGACTGCCCAGCAGGCCTCTGCCCTTCCCCAGCCTCCTCCACAACCTCCAGAGCCACACCTCCACTCCCTGTCAGCTGTTCCTCCCCTCCGTCAGAGTCAGACTCTAACAAGAGCATGACAACAGTGCTAAACAATCCTCAAAGTGCTTTTTCAAAAGGCAACTCGACTTTGTTTTTCCTTGAAGACATTTCATTTCTCATCCAAGAAGCTTCTTCAATTCTGATTGGAGAATGGAATGGAACTGAATTGAACTGAACAGAACTGAAGAAGCTTCTTGGATGAGAAGCTAAACATCTTCTAGGAAAAACAAAGTCCAGTTGCCTTTTGAAAAAGCATCTTTGGGATAACCATGACCTGGATGATTGAGAATATCCATAGACAAGGCTAAACAATCATATCATTAAAGACAAATAAAGGAGAAAGGATGACCATGACTGAACAACTCAAATTCATATATCATTCTGTAAGTGGGGAGGAAACAATTTGACAATTTAACTGAGATGAGGTGGCCCAGAGTGGAAAAGATATAGAACAGATTAAAGCTAAAATAGGCTTATTTACTGTGATCTACCAATTTATAGGGCCATAAAAGAGAATTAGATAAAGTCATAGAAGATGAAGCTTTGAATATCTAAAGGTCACAGTGACAATGCATTTGCTGTCCTTGTAATCAGCTGCTAAGACTCATATATGTGTATCTTGTTTGTGAGTTTCCTTTCAGCATTTAGCTAATTCAGAACCAGAGAAATGGACTGGGATAGATTCAATACGCAATTCCTGAAGTCTCATGTGGCAATTGTGAAATTTGTTTCAAGGATTATTAAAGAGTCTTTGGTATTTAGCAAAAATAGATTGAGAATGGACAGAAGTAAATTGCAACTGCCTAGAATCCCCCCCCGCCCCTTATACAAAATGTTCATAAATCAAAGGTTGTTTTTTTAAAAAAACTAGCAGATTATGAATAGTCTAATTATTCTCTATAATCAGCAAAGCATTATTGGAATAGCAAAGTTCTATTCCGTTTTATTCCAAGTTATCTTGAATAAGTACAATGAATATTAATTAGTACATTCTTCTGAACAGATCTCTTTGGAATTGCAATACAAAGGGCATTGAATAGTTGAATTTAATGATAGGTACTTAGTAGGATTAATTAATTTTAGTGATTGAGATACATAATTTTTAAGCAGAGAGGGGGTGTTAATCAGTGTGTAATAATAATTATAACTCGCTTTCCAAATGACCAGCACGTAGTTTTGAGATTCTGGATAAGTTCCATCAATCATCATTTTTGTACTTGTCTATTAAAATTATGGGCAACCATGAAGGGACAAATCAGAAAATCATGGAAAAGCAGATGCATGGAATTTAGATTCTTTGCTTTGTGTAAATGAAATGGCATTTATGCACATTTCATATTATAAAACTGTAAGCCAAAATAAATTTTTGGATTTTCTCTATACAAAGCACAGAGTGCCTTACAGACAGAATATCTGTCAGAATATGGGGCTTCCAAAAATGAATTTTTAGTTCCTTTTTTCTGTCATTAATCCCATTATAATTTTTAATAGCATCTCCATTCCTTAAGATGCAAAAAGTAATGTTTTATAGCTGAGGAGAAATACCATTATCTAAGCCCTGAAAGTTGGGGAAAAATGAAATGTCATGCATATCACAATATATGAGACTTAAAAAAAAATACCACATGGGTAAAATGTACATGCTGTTCCTTAAAAAGGACAGTACTTCCTGCATTGCTGAATAGTGATGAATGTGTAACATGTTTGAAAGTGAAAAGGTATTATGACAATATATTGTATGTCAAATAAATTCTTTTGCTATAAGGAATGGGTAAAACAATAAAATCTAGTGGGAGATTTTATGAAACAACCTAAATGTTTAAGGAGACTACATTTTGTGATACAAAGGTACAAGCATTTTTTTTTGTCCTTCATAAAAAAATTATATAGATAGCAAGAGAGAATTATTTTGCTAAATCCTCTAAAGGTGCAGAAGTATGAATCTTAAAAGAAGGCACTGGGGCCACTTTCTCTCACAGGTTGGATTATTACTAGAGGTGGTATTCAGCAGGTTCTGACCAGTTCTGGAGAACCAGTAGCAGAAATTTTGAGTAGCAAATACCACCTCTGACTGGCCCCATCCCCATCTATTCTCTGCCTCTCAAGTTTCAACTGATCGGCTGGATCTTCTTTTGTTGCCCTGCACAGGAGGACAGAGCTGGAAAGCAGGTTAGTGGGGTGGGGAGGGAATGGGATTTTGCAGTAACCTTCCCCCAGGAGTGGGGTGGAAATGGAGATTTTACAGTATCCTTCCCCTGCCATGCCCACCAAGCCACAGAACCGGTAGTAAAAAAAATTGAATCCCACCACTGCTTATTACCTATCACAAGGTGTCAGATGATCACTGAGGAAACGGAGCAACAAATACTCTTTTTAATACTCCTTTGATCACTGAAAGTATGCTACAGATCAAATTAATTAAACACGATGTTCAAGAGGAAGAAATATTCTCACTAATTTGTCTCATCTCCCAGTTCCAATTGGCTTAGTGAAATGAAGAAGATACTCTACAATCAATTTGTAATGGAGTCAGCATTCTGTAATCAGAAAGGATATTAGAAAAAGAAAAAAACCATTTGTCGATTTTTTAATCGTCCAAACAGAAATACAGCCCAATTTAATAATGTAATCAAGCTAAAGACCATGTAGTGAAGGCAATCACAGACTAACTTGTGAGAACATTGGATCGAGTAGGATGTACCCTTCATGTTTCATGAGGAAAAATAGTTGGGACATCATGGTAATATTTTTATGCAATTATCTAACAGTAGCCTTCTTTTTTCTATTATGAATTTTGGTGGGGCAGGAGGATACCAAGAACTGATCATAGTTTTCTATCTTAGAGAACTGATGGGATTCAATTTTTTTACTACCGGTTCTGTGGGCATGGCTTGGTGGTCATGGCTGGGGAAGGATACTGTAAAATCTCCAGTCAGAGGTAGAACATGCCGGTTCTCAAAATTTCCACTACTGGTTCTCCAGAACTGGTCAGAACCTGCTGAATACCATCCCTGGAACTGACCATCTGTATTATACAAGTTTTGAAGGTTTTGACAATAGTTCCAAAGCCTGCAAGAACCATTTGATCCACAAAAACCTCAAAAGACCTCAAAAACCATGGAAGCTAAAGGCCAACACATCTGGAGGGCATCATGTTGCCGAAATCTGATGCCGTCCGGATATGCTAGGCTTCAACTCCCATAATGAAATCTTCATGATTAGGAACTTTTTGCAAAGTATGTGCTCCAAAGTAGAATAGAGCAGTTAACTCCATAGTAATTTAACGAAAATAAGAAAGGTTGCAGTGTTGGAAAGAGCCATCTTTTATGCTTTTATAGACCAATGTACCATTGATTAGTCGAGATCCGAGCCAACCTCGATAGATTGAAACTCTTCTTGTAGAAAAAGCAGACTAAAAAGAGAAATCAAGCGATCTTTATTTGTTCCATGCTCCAAAGAATATTACAGCAGCAGCTACTTTGCATGGATAAGTTTAAGGTAGAAAAAAAGAGAGGTGTTCTGCTGACTCGAGTGAAATGAAAACTGATTGCCAGATTAATTGTGCTTCTCCAAACATTTAGAGAGTGACCATCTGGGAAGTCAGTAACAATTCAATATTGTTTAGTCATAGCATGCCAGAAGTCAAGTGTCTGTCCAGATTTGGAACTTGAGTACAGATTTACTGTGCACAATTCTATAACAAATATTATTGCTTGTAAATGTAGAGATGTACATCTAGTGATGAAGTACAATATAAACTGCTGTTATAGCTGAACAATATATATCTAAAGGAGGAGGAGAAATACATGACATATGACTTGTGGCAGCCCTGCCTATGATTTCCCCAAATCTCATTGTTAAAATGCACACATACATAGGAAATCTGGAGTTGGAAGTCTGGGAGTGAGAAACATAAAAGAAACTCAAATTATAGCACTGTTCCAATAACTCAGAGGCTGCCACAAAGAAGAAGCAATCAATCTGTTCTCCAAACCACCTGAAGGCAGAACAAGAAGCAATGGATGGAAGCTAATCAAGGAGAGAACCAACCTAGAACTAAGAGGAAATTTCCTGACAATTACAACAATTAATCAATAGAACAATTTACCTAACAGTGGTTAGAATGTATAAGGCTATTTTTGCTGATTATTTGCAGTTTTTGCAGTTCAAATTTCACCAGACTCAAGGTTGACTCAGCCTTCCATCCTTCCAAGGTCAGTAAAATGAAAACCCAGATTGTTGGGGGGAAATATGCTGACTCTGTAAACTGCTTAGAGAGGGTTGTAAAGCACTGTGATGTGGTATATAAGTCTAAGTCTGTCTATCTGTCTATCTGTCTATCTGTCTATCTGTCTATCTGTCT